TCATACGGTGAACGTTTTGACCGATCCACAAACCCAAACAAGTATCCGCTCCATGTGAGGACACGACCGCGTAAACCCGTAACACTATATAAAATTATTTGAAAATAACGTCGATTGGTATCCCTTTATTTATCAATACATGTTTATTTTAAAGCGAGTATTTTACAACTCAGCAATGTTTCTTTGCGTAGCAACGAGGATCAACATTTATTTAAATGAGCAGTTGCAAATAGTAGTTAATGACAGTTTATGATATATGTTATCGAGTTTTTTTTGTTCACTATACAATTTATATTCGGCGCGTTTTAGAATTCACATTCCAAAGAGCCACGTGAGCTCCATGAGTCGCAGAACGTGGCGTCACAATTCTCAAAGCAGCGCAGATAGCGACATTATTAGGCACTACACATTTCAAACTGACGTACAGTGTCACAGCTCATGTTCAAAAATAAAAAATTAGGTTTTGAAATTTTGTATTTCATTTCATGAAATTGTCTCAATATTACTTGTCTCAAAATTTATTCCCATTAGGTTTAATTAAAAGAAAAAAAATGTGTTTGGAAAATTCGGTAAGATCCAAACTTAGATTATCCGCTTACGAAACAAACATTCTGTGCACTGGTTCACTGCCGATTATTGAATAGTGCCTAAACTTCCAAAGTTTTACAGAAGTAACTTCAATTGTTTATAAAAAATGCGCATTGAAATGAAATATTTTACAGAATGTCATTTTTCGACTTCTAAATTCATCCTTTCAAATTTTATCAAAATCTTCGTGGGACAGGTATGTAGTCTTCTTGATAAGTGCTTTGCACATCAATATTTTTCAAATTTTTCATTTCGCTGAAAAGTTACCAAATGAAATTACAAAATAATTAAAAATAAAATGTAACACCGACACACAGTGTTTTGACCAATGGACAAAAATCAGAAATTCAAAGTGTAAAATCTAAAAATTTTTTCATTTTAAGATGTTAATAACAAACCATAGTTTGTAATATTGCCTATAATTTTGACTGAATACGTCCATTTGTTGTTAAAATTAAGACGTGAAATTTGCTCCATTAAAATCAGTGTATTTTTCAAATATGTGCCATTCACAGACCATTTGTGTTTTTGATTTGATTTTTATAGGTTGTCTTTAGTACCTGAATACCTTTGAAGCTGACACAGAATTTTAATACAATAGTAATAAATTTTCCTAATTTTTTATGTAAAATTTTTATCAAATTTAACGAGACTTTTAAAAAAAGTACCGAGTAATACCTCTGTGAATTTTGTATATTAATTTTGAACATATAAATTTTTATATTCATGTCAAATTTAACTGCTTAAATTTGCTTAAAACAAAGAAAATTGTCAAAATTGTTATTGACGCGTTTAGTATTCTACTATTGTACGCGTTATTCAATTTTTTTATTATTTACATTGTTATTTAACCACCTAATAAAAATTACAAAACAAAAATAAAAGAGAAATTTTGAATGTATACAAAGTTATGATATTTGTCTCTCAAACCCCTGTGTGCGAAACGGCCGCTACGATTTTGCCGGTATTTCCGCGAAACTGATTAACAAATTCTTCAAAGAAAAGTTAATCAGTATTCAGTTGACAATAAATCGTGTTAACGAAAATTTACAAAAAAAAAAAAAATATTCCATAAAAAATAAAGATCACTACAATTTTTTTAAATGAAACCATATATTTTTTTATGTGCCAATCAATGCATATTTGAATTCTCTTCAAAAAAGTATTAGAGAACTAAGGTCGAAAATTGATTAATTTAGAAATTATGATTTTTGTCCCGAACGCCCATATACATACTCGAAACACTGCGTCTCACCAAGTTTCAAAGGAAATCTAATTCTTATTCATGCGCTCACGTTGCTCGAGCGTCACGTGGTGACGTAATAATTGGCGGAAAGAGCCGAACAGGCTTCGCACACAGCCAGAGCTACCGCTACACTTGTTGAGAGCTCGAGGGCGATACAGTGAGAGACGTCGGTAGGTCATAGTGGGGGGCCCACGGCCCACGATTCTGGTATCACAGGCGGGAGATCACCTATCTGCCGTCACCCCGCTATCATGCTTGATCGTGAATTTTGCTTCTTCGTGCGTGGCTTGTGACTGTGTGGATTCGTATTTTGTATTGGGATCGGAATGGAATTAACGTTGACGACTTGGCGCGTTTTACAGACGATTCCAACTTTACAAACAAATATGGATAGTTTACATAAGGGTATGAAGTTTACGGTGCAGGGGGCTTCGGATCCCCCAGTACCCGCCGGTAAGGGTGGCGAGTGGCCAGGCTACACCGGTGGTCATCCGACTACTGTTCCGCGCAGGCGGCTGGGAACCAGACCGCTGCGCAGGTTACTGCGACTGGATTAAAAATACATGGAGGCTTTGAAATCTTTAAGAGGAGGCCGCGTATTGAGTGACTAAAATCCGTTCGGTACGATTGGAAATACAGGTCACACAAGGTTCTGTAGCTACGCCAATGACTTCTGTATGCCCTCCGCCAAGGCCGTGCGAGTCTGGCTATGGTCAGTTCTCGCATGTGGTAGCCAGACGGAAGTAATGAAGGCCCAGATCGCGGAGCTGCGCTCCTCCCATCGAGACCAGCCTCTGCAAAACCACCAGCGAAGCCGCAACATCGCGAGGCGCAGGTCAAATTCGCGGAGACGAGACCACTCGGCCAGCGGCATGTGCTGGTACCATGCGAAGTTCGGCCGCAACGCACACCGCTGTATCCAGCTGTGCACGTACTCCCCAGCCGCGGGAAACGCCACGGGCAGACGTTAATGGCGGCGAACGACTCCGACTCGACCTTTAGCCGTCTTTTTATACTAGATCGGCAGACAAATACGCAGTTCCTGGTCGATACCGGCGCGGACCTCTGCGTATTTCCCAGAAAAATGATCCGCGACCCGATCTCTAAGACCGGGTATGAACTTTCCGCGGCCAACGGGACGCCGATCGCGACGTACGGCACCAAAACCCTGACATTGAATTTGGGTCTTCGTCGAGATTTCACTTGGAGGTTCGTCGTGGCGGACGTGTCCAAGCCGATTATTGGTGCGGACTTTCTCGCCCATTACGGCCTCCTCGTGGACATCCGCAATCAACGCCTCATCGACCAGATATCCTCCATAACCTCCAAGGGTACGCCGGACCAGGAGGACGCTCCATCCATTAAGACGGTACGCGGAGCCTCTGTCTATCACGGACTTCTTCAGCGTTTCCCGGCGATCACAAGACCGAGCGGAACGCCCATCGACATCGCCCACGACACTCGCCATTACATCCGGACTTCCCCGGGACTAGCCATCGCCTACAGACCACGACGGTTTGCACCGGACCGGCTCCAGATCGCAAGAAGGAATTCGAGGTAATGGTACATCTCGGTATTGCACGACCTTCGCAAAGTAGTTGGGCTTCACCGTTGCATCTCGTGCCCAAAAAAGGCAGCGATTCCTGGAGATCGTGTGGCGATTATCGCGCTCTTAACGCTCGCACGGTACCAGACCGATACCCGATACGCCACATCGAGGACTTCGCGCAGACGTTGTGCGGAAAGAATATTTTTTCCACGATTGATCTGGTTCGGGCGTACAACCAGATCCCCGTAGCGACCGAAGACATTCCAAAGACAGCGATCACTACCCCGTTCGGCCTGTTCGAATTTAAATTCATGACGTTTGGTCTCCGTAATGCCGCTCAGACATTCCAGCGGTTCATCGACGAGGTATTACAGGGATTAGACTTTTGCTACGCCTATATTGACGACATTTTAGTAGCGTCTAGCTCAGAGGCCGAACATCGAGAGCATCTTGGAATGCTATTTAATCGGCTCGAAAAGTATAACATCGTCATTAATCCGGGTAAATGCGTCTTTGGGATGTCTGAGGTTAAATTCCTCGGCTATACGGTCTCGGAGGCAGGTACACGCCCGACCGCAGAAAAGGTCGAAACTATCACTGATTTTCCGGAACCTGTCTCAGCGAAACAATTACGCCGTTTCTTGGGTATGGTAAACTTCTACAGACGTTTCATACCCAAGGCGGCTCACACCCAGGCGCCGTTAAATGACCTGCTAATTAAGAATATTAAGGGGAGTCAACCTGTCGCGTGGACACCTGAGGCACGTGAGGCCTTCCACCAGTGCAAACAGGACCTGGCGCAGGCTGCTTTATTGGCGCACCCCGAGCCGAACGGGACACTGGCCGTTCACTGCGACGCCTCTAACTTTATGGTCGGCGCCGTTCTGCATCAGCGTATCGGTAATGCGTGGGAGCCTCTAGCATTTTTTTCCACCAAGCTCTCGCCCGCGGAACAGAATTACTCCGCTTTTGACCGCGAATTATTAGCTATTTACCGATCCATCAAACATTTTCAGCACCTCCTCGAGGGTAGACATTTTATCATTTACACTGACCATAAACCCCTATCATACGCATTTGCAGACAAGACGGACAGACGTACACCGAAACAAATTAGACAGCTTTCCTTCATTAGTGAATTTACTACGGACATACGACACATTTCGGGCAGCGATAATGTAGTCGCGGATGCGTTATCGTGAATAGAGCTGGTGGAGAAGCATATAGATTACGAGGCCTTAGCAGCGTCCCAGGCGACCGATGCCGAATTACAGACGTTGATGCAGAGCCAATCGGGGCTGACCATCAAACGCCTAGAGATTCCTGGCTCCACCGCGAAAGTCTTTTGTGATGTTTCGACCAATTCTGTGCGTCCCTTCCTCACGTTTCACGTGCGAGACGCATGGTCTCGCACACCCAGGAGTAAATGCAACGGTCAAGCTCGTAACCGAGCGATACGTCTTGCCCGCTATCAAGGCCGATTGCCGAGAATGGACCAGAGCCTGCATTCCGTGCCAGCGGAATAAAATCGACCGGCACGTAACGGCTCCCCTTGGATCATTCCCTCGATCATCGGCGCGTTTCGAACATGTACATATAGATATTATAATTTTGCCGATGTCGGAGGCGTATCGATACTGCCTTACGTGCGTGGATCGTTTTACCCGCTGGACGGAAGCAATTCCTTTGCGCGATCAGGAAGCCACCACCGTCGCAAGGGCGTTTTACGAAGGATGGATCTCCCGATTCGGAACACCGCTGCGAGTCACCACCGACCAGGGCTGGCAATTCGAGGCACACCTCTTTAAGGAATTAAACTCCTTATTTGGCGCGGCTCATCTGCGGACCACAGCCTATCACCCCGCGGCCAATGGCATGGTGGAACGTTTCCACCGCCAACTGAAAGCGGCCATCAGATGCTACCAGCATCACCGCTGGACCGATGTGCTTCCAACCATTTTGCTGGGCATCCGCTCAGCATGGAAGGAAGACTTGAAGTCAACATCGGCGGGACTAGTTTACGGTCAACTGCTTCGCCTACCAGGCGAATTCATGGCGCCATCGCCGCGTGATAACGACGCGACGAATTTCGCCGAGCAGTTGCGAAGCCATTTCCGCGAAATCGGACCGACCGATGGGACTCAGCACGGCATCCCGCGAGTATTTGTATATAAAGACTTACATACGTGCAAATATGTGTTCCTTCGTAGGGACTCATCAAAGACAATCTTGCAACTACCGTACAATGGTCCCTACGAAGTAGTGAATAGAGACAATAAGACTTTATCACTTAAGATAGATAATAAGCTTAGGTTAGTATCAATAGATAGGGTAAAGCCTGCATACATCACAGCTGAAGATATCGTGATACTACCGGATCGAACACAATCCATACCTTTTGACAGTTATACACGATCCGACACTGAATCAGCGCGAGACTCTACAGCACCACCATCTGTAACAAACGCGCAACACACTCACACTTTACCACCTGTTTCTGCGCATCACACTGAAACAACAGTGCGTTTTTCAACACGATCCTAACGGATCAAAGGCAATGCCGCTTAGAAACCGTATCCTCAAAAAGAGTGTCCAATTCGAGAATAACCGGATAGGTTCTGTAGCTACGCCAATGACTTCTGTATGCCCTCCGCCAAGGCCGTGCGAGTCTGGCTATGGTCAGTTCTCGCATCTGGTAACCAGATTCGCACGGGTCAGGGTTTTTCCTGACCAGCCAACTTTCACCAGAAAGTTGGCGCCTTTTTTGTTACGCGCGCTTTTCCGCCCGCGCTTTTTCCCTTCCCACGCTTTTCGGTAGCGCGGCTTGCTCCCTGTTTTTGTCTAAGGACAGGGGCATATAACCCGAAAGACCGGGGGAAAGGGGAGAGTCGAAAACGACGATCGGCAGAACGTCGTGCTGCTCAATCATTCGCCTCACACCGTTATTTTATTTCATTGTATTCATCGCTTTTACTTGCGCTAGCAATTATGCTAGCGATTATTTTCAACCACTGAATGCACTTGTGAACGATCAACCGAGTTATGTTTTTCCCATTTATTGGTCAACATTTTTGGCTAACCGCATTCAAGGTACCCTGGAATGTGCACCTTGCACCAATATTATCTATTTGTTGTGGGTTTGAGTTGACGTATGTATCCAAGGATGGGATACGCCTACTATGCGACTGAGATGATCTCGCTCGAGTTGCTGCGCGGCGGGAAGACGCGAAGAGTCCTCCCACCACAACTCCAGCGACTGCCGTTGGTTTATGTTACATATTCTGCGTGTTCGTACCGCATAATGGGGAAACCTTGGGAGGGGAAATTTGCTCGTGAGCAAGAAGTTAAGCGGCTCTGATTTATGCGCAAACACAATTTTTTCACAGATCTTTTGAAAAGAATAGAAAATCTTTGGTAAATATCGTTGTTTGTTCTTGCGGTTGTTACTCTAATTACTCCATCTATCCCAAGGTGAACCTCTATTACTCGTCCAAGGGACAATCACAAAGAAGATAGAGTTTCATCCCTATTAATGACCAGGTCGTTTAACTGCATACTGCTGGTCCCGTTTCCACTTGCTATATAGGCTCAGTTCGTTAATATATTCCTTGTGCTGTTTCACCTTTTGGATGTGCTGCCACATCATTCGGTACGCCGATGATGTCGCTCTCAGGTATAAAAATCAATGACCCATCGATGAGGAAACGCGTAAAGGTTAAGGCTTGTAGTTCGTTAGGATGCGAAGAAAAGGAAATTAAAGGACTTGCATGTAGGATTCTTTCAATTTCAATCACGTAGGTATTAAAATGTTCAAAAGTAAAAAAGTAAAAAGCGTGTTACCTATTGTGAGTAACAGATGGTGTTTAAATGTGTTAACAGCGGCTTCCCACAAGTCGAAAAATGCGGTGATTTTCTCGGCGAGAAATGTCAACTTATCAAATGGTCATTTAAACAATGATTCACCTTACGATGATGGTGTTCGACTTTCAACAAGTCCATTAATTCCACGATTTTGCTTTTTACTCCGACAAAATTTGTACCATTATCACTATAAATATTTTTTACCCTTCTGCGTTTTATAAAAAAAACTTTTCAAACACGCAATAAATGCTTCGGAAGTCATATCCGAAAGTACCTTTAAATGAATTACTGCTTCACCAGAGGAACAAATAATTAATCTCTAAAATAATAAATCTTCACACATTTCTGGTTTCGGAAGAGTTTTTCTTTAACAAAAAATAGATCGCAATTGTCCACGCCCACATTTTCCAAGGGTCTAGTGGCTAATAAACAATTTCTAGACAAGTCACCCATTATGTAATTTGGCGGACCTACCGGCTTTACTTTCAAGCACTGAAAGCACTTGTGAACGATCAACCCAGTTATGTTTTTCCCAATATTTTTGGCTAACCGCATTCAAGGTACCCTGGAATGTGCAGCTTGCACCAATATTATCTATTTGTTGTGGGTTTGAGTTGACGTATGTGTCCAAGGATGGGATACATTGGTCAATTAATCAGCAGTATTTGTCGCAGTCTGCGTATTCCAATTTTCATCACGGTAATGACTCACAGCGGCTGGTGGTGTGTTTTATGCGTATTTCTATTAGAGTGGGACAGTGGTAATTGCCGTGCAATTCGGGTATTGCTGCATATTTACATTTGAGTACAGTATTTTCACAAGACGATTGTGCCGAAAGTGTCACGGCTACACTGAAGTGTGTTGGTTCATGATCGTTAAGGAGTATTATCTCTTGCGTACAGATGTAGTCTCCTGTTAATACAAACAACTTCTGTAATTTTCCGAAAATGCTATTTAGTTCAATTTCATCTAGTTGGAGGCTGTTTGAGATGTACTTATATGTTTATATGGTACTATTTTAGTTGATATTACTTCCATATTGGATGTAATTAGAATCTATTCGCCGTGTAGTGAATTCTTGAATAGTGTGGCTGTTCCTCCGCTTGTAAATTGGGAATTTCGATTAGTGTCGCAGTGTTTAAGTTTAATTATTTGTTATAGTTTAAAGGCGAACACTTAGAGACATACAATGTCAGGTTGGTGTTGACTAACGGCACATCCACTGAAGGTGCATGTAAAATTTGGAGTCAATCGGACAACTAGAACTTGAGATATCATGTCAGACATTTAGAAAAACATGGTTTCGAGAAAAACGCGTTTAAAGTTTCTCATACCAGTTATATGAGAATGGTATACTTACGACTACGGGCTACGTGTCATCTTCTTCAACCATCTATAACTTCGTCAATTTTACGAATTCGGAAAAATCCTTCAACAGTTATACTTCTGCAAATGTCTACTTTCAGAAAATGTAAAAAAAAATCGATTTTTTTGAAAAGTCTAGACTAGAATACCCCCTTAAGGTGTAACTATACAGTGGCTTACATAAAAGCGATTTCACATTTATTCATATTTCTGAATTTAACAGAACTTTTACTTTATCCCTCATTATCTAGAAATCGCATTTTTTTACTTACACCACTTTTGCGTTAAACGGCTCATTTAAAAAGATGTCCGTTTTTGTTTACGTTTTTCACTTTTAATAATTAGTACTTGCAACGAAAAAATCGAAAAAAATTCCCTAATATGTGCTTTCATGTACGA